GTGTGGGGGGAACAGCTATATCACTTTCTCTGTTACTGGCTATACAGCGATACTCTCTTGGAGGAGAGGTCTTCCCACTGGGAGCTGGATCCAGGTGTTTGATCCAGGGTGGGAAGGGACAGCGAGACCCCAGTCAAGCTGCGGTGGCAAAGGACGGTACAGTGGTTATGGTGTCTGGTGCGGTGCTTATGGTACTCAGTGAGCACTAGGAAGCGTGATTGGTGGAGGTACCCAGACAGGGTGTCAGGTGGTCCGCCACAGGTGTCCTAGCCGGTCTCTGTTGGGGGGTTCCTGTGCGAACACCATGCAAAAGATTCTCTTAACTTCCAGATATGAATGTTCCCCCTGTTCGGTAGTTCCCATCTCCCGAATGTCATTCGCCTAGTTGGTCTGGAAGTAGAACAAGCAGCACCCATCTTTATCAGGGTTCGTACGAGTACCTAGCCAAAAAGAGTTCCATGCACTCTACGACCAAGTACCGCTGCCCATGTTCGGGAGACAAAATGGCCACCATTCCTTTGTCAACCACGTGCATTCAGTTATACGAAATGGCGGCCATCCAGTCCATTCAGTTTCGCACTTAAGTTGCTTGTGTGAACGTTGTAATGGGATACAGGAGTGGTCCTTGTTCGGTAGATGAATGGAGGGTGTTCGTATACTCTTACTTCTGAACGGAAAAAGACAAAACAGTTGAAATTGGGCAAAACAGATGAATTTGGCAGTAAGTTCCACCACAGGCTCTTTTGAATGTGAGTGATCCATTTTTCTCAAAAAAAAAATGTATATTTTATTACCATCTACACTATATTCTATTTTCTAATTTTTTATATATTTGACACACACGGTTTTACCAAGATAACGTGGGGTAAGGGGTAAGTTACCCCAATATTCACAGTGCTCCATGAAGGGTATAGGTTTTACTTGTACCAGCTGTTGTTTTTGTGTTGAATTTCTCGACAGCTTATTATCCTCAATTTAATGGAGCAGCAGAACCTACTATTCAGAGAGTGGAACAATATTTAAAGAGAAACTATAATGCCAGGAAAATGTTGTTTGCCTGGCACTAGAGCACCCTAAAGTGCCCCATATGTCAAGGCCCCCCGTGGTGCAGTCACTTACCTGAGTCCAGGGAACACACTTACCTGAGTCCAGCACTGATGTCCCTTAGTGCTGGCTTGGGTTCCTACATTGCCAACGTCAGCCGGTGGGGGAGACCTAATGCACATGCACTGCAATGGCCATGCTCGCATTAGTACTTCCCCCATAGGAAAGCACTATACAATGTGTGGAACCCAAGCCAGCACTAAGGGACATCATGGCTGGACTCAGGTAAGTGTGTTCCCTGGACTCAGGTAAGTGACTGCACCACGGGGGGCCTTGACATATGGGGCACTTTAGGGTGCTTTCCTATTGGGTTTTGATGATGCTGGATGTCCTCATGCATAGTGTGAGGATGTCCAGTGTCAGTTAGGTGACCAAAAGTCACCAACGACCCAGAAGTCCCTTTAGTGGCTGTCTGGTAGACAGCTACTAGATGTAGAGTTAACCCACATTTCTTAAAAACTGCAATAATTACATTTGCAGGGTTAAGGGACCTGGGATTATGCACCCGGATCACTTCAATGAACTTAATTGGTCTGGGTGCTTATAGAGTCCTTTTAAGATGTTTCATATCTGTGTATCAGGATAATTGGGTTGACTTGATTCCCTGGGCTGAGTTTGCACATAACAACATGGCTTGTGATGCCACGCAACATAGTCCTTGGTTGATGAACACACTGATGACCTGAAAAAGACTTGGGAACATGCTGAACACATGTTGACACATAAATCCAGTCTATACAAGAATCATGCCGAGAAACATAGGTATGTTTACATACCCGGTGATAAGCTCCTACGAAACACCAAACATATCAGTTTCAAAATTCCTTTCATGAAATTCGCTCCCATATTCCTGGGTCCTTACAAAGTCATTAGACGTATTAATCCTGTATCGTATCGTCTTGCTCTATCTTCTGCCATATGTATTCACAATACGTTCCATATATCCTTGTTGAAACCTCTAATGTAATAGGTTCACCTGTTTAAGCTAAGGGGCCAAAATAATATAAAATACAGTCTGTTCTTGATTCTCGTGTTCCAAATGTCAGGGGAATATCTGATTGATTGGAAAGGGTATAGTCCTGAGGAAACATTTTGGGTTGAATATTCAGATATCCATGCTTCTCATCTTCTTAGGTCATTCCATACAAATTTTTCTTCTCACCATGGTCATTTCCGCCAAGTGGGCAGTTCTCGAGGGGGGTCCTATCAGGATACCTGTTGTTGTTGCCCAGGTTAGGACAGAGACTGGAGACATCCTACAAGTGGAGGGGAACCTTCTCCATGGTCCTCAGTGATTCAGATGCCAGCCACTGTAGCTCTGCCATTTTTTTGATGCTGATGAAGTCACATAGTAAAAAAAAAGGGGGGGGGGGAATTGGGGGCACACCAACATGTAAACATTTTTGTCTCTATGGTAGCCCCTTTGCTGAGAAATGCATGTTCTAGGTGTGTCCCCAATTCTTTTTTTTCTTACTGTAAGTTTGAAGTCCAGACCAGGTTCCTTTTGGGTTCAGTACCTGGCCCTGCTTCCCAGCTTTAGATGGTCAGGGTCCCCACAGGAAAGTATAAATTTGAGGCGGTTTTGGATAGCAATGTCACTTTAATTATAATTTTCATTTAATATACAGCAGGCATATGATATGCCTTGTGAATATATACATCAAAGCACTCTCACTTTAATTGTTTAGAATTGACACTGCATTTTTTTGTATTGTGTTTTTTAATCACATTAATTTTGCATTATGTATATTCATAATGCTCTTACAACAGATTATTTAAATACAATTTAGTTGATTTAGCACTATTTAATTTGCCTCCCATGTTGAGATTAGTGTAGGAAACCGAAAATCAGGTACTATTAAATAGTAGTGGGCTTAACACAATGTGGCCATATGGTGGAACTGAATCCTCATATTTGTTTGCTAAGATAGGTGATTTTAATAGTCTTTAAAATTTAAAACTGTATTTTTACATGTGTGCTGTTCCTTAATCGGTATACATAACTGATCACTGTCAGCTGTGAGACATGCATAAAGACCAGATTGTTTTGGGGTTTTTTCAGGTCCCATGGGTCTCTTTATCATACAATAGGACATCACTTGTGGGCAAACTAAGCAGCTGGGAGGTTCCAAAGGATAGATGCTTAGGTTTCCAAGTAGAGGCAGCAGAGACTTGGAAAAAGGAATGTTTTAGCAGAGTAAATGGATATGAGGTAATTGAGTGGTGTGATGTGGAAAGGCAATTGAGACAAAGTCTGAAACTGAGTCTTTGAATTATTAATTATAGAAATAAATTAATGATAGATAGTTTACCAATACCATGAGTGAATTTGAAAACAAAGTCTGCAATAATAAGGCAATGGCTGAATGATCTGAGAGCCTGATAATGAATAGTAGGCTAGGGTCTAATACAAGAATTGTAACAATGCACAGGGATAACTAGAGAGAGTCGACAGGTAAGCTGATGTCTGAATCCAGGAGGCAGTAGGCATGAAAGGGTGATTTAAGACAGTAGTCAGAGAAATGAGGAGACAACTGTGGAGGACAAGAACAATCTGAGAGAGTAGTCAGGAACACAAATCAAAGCCTGTAGGTGATTATGAAGAGGTTGACCGACTTTGGGCCTACTGGGAAGGAAAGCCAGTGCAACTCAATAATCGCGCAATGAGGCAAACCAGTGGCAACAATTAAACACGAGAACCGGAATCAATTACACATGGAATCATGACACCATTAAACAAGAAATGTAACAAGTTTAACTTTACTCCTCTTCATGCATTCTGGCACATACACACAGATACATACTTATAAAGTTACACAGAAACACAAATAAACATTCCCAGAGACATACACACAGTGAGATACACACAAAACTAGGTAATCATAATCAGACACACCTAGCAACAAGTACAAAAATATCAAAGGTATAATTACATAAAAACCACAAAATCCTGAACATAAATCAGAACAACAGGGCGCCACAATCACAAAGTCAAATACAATCCGGAGATTCCGATGGATAGAGGGGACAATGAATAAAGGAAAATATCCACTTTATTGGTAATAAACAAATATGGTTGCGCTCGTTTTACAACTGTGTACAGTACGCATAAAGTTATTTGCGTTCCAGCTTGGTTGCGCATGCGCACATCGGTCAGCCACACGTCATAACGCATGGCAGTGCACCCGGCATGATCTGCACGTGCGCAGGCAATGAATGGCGCCCGGACCGGCGGATTTAAAAGGAGAAGATGCCAAGGGGAACCCAGAATCTCTTGAGGAAGTCTATTTGACAAAACGCGTCAAGCAGCTACAAGAGCCCTACATTCGTGGTGTGGCAGTCTTTATTCTGTCAGTATACTGTTGTTGTTTGTGCTGATGTGTTTTTTGTAAGAGTGACTTTTGATATTGTTTGCACTTTTGGCACTTGCACTTTTCAACATTTGTACAGTTACTTGCATTGTTTAAGCTGCTGCCCATAGGGGCTGTTTTGCCTTAATTGGCTTTTTAATATATGTCTTTGTTGCGATTTTGCACAGCTTTGTGTGCTATTTCCTATTTTATCTGTGTTTATTACTAATAAAGTGGATATTTTCCTTTATTCATTGTCCCCTCTATCCATGGGAATCTCCGGATTGTATTTGACTTTGTGATTGTGGCACCCCGTTGTTCTGATTTATGTTCAGGATTTTGTGTTTTTTTTGTATGGAGTTTTGGAGTGACCTCATGACAGTGGTTTGCTTGCATTAGTTTATTATTTATTTCACCACCCACCCATTCACGTTTTGATCCATAATTACATAAAAGACTCTTGCCATAGTTCAACACAATAGTCACACGCATGCGATACAATGATGCATTTTGTATGGGAATATTGCTATACAAAGCATATTACATTACATTACACGACTCTTAGCAGGTGCGTTGATGAGGAACGCAGCTAGCTGGGAGAATTAGTGTGAATTGCAGTACACCTTGATCATCGACACTTCGAACACACCTTGCGGCCCCAGGTTCATCCCGGGGCTGCGCCTGTCTGAGGGTCGCTACCCGCTACCATTATATTTTCATTCACATTTTCTTGATTGCTGATAGCAACTGTTACAGCCTTAGGGTACAATCAGATAAGGGGATGAGGGCAGGGCCGGCGCATACATAAGGCAGCACAAGTGGGGCGCTAGATTGGAGTGACCAGCAGGAGGTGGGCGCACAATGCTCCCTCCTGCCAGTCACTCAGTGTAGCGTGGCCAAAAGCAGTGCGCACCGCGGTACAGGAACTTCTGATTCCTGAACCCAGCTGGACTGACAGGAAGTGCTCACTGAGAGAGCACTTTCGGTCAGTCCAGCCAGGTACAGGAAACTGAAGCTCCTGTACCGCGGTCTGCCCCGCTCAGCCACGCTACAAGAAAGATAGGAGACACACCGGGGACCAAGGGGGGGTGAGAGAGGGGCACTAAAGGACAGGGGTGGTGGTGAGGAACACTACTGGGCAGGGTGGTGGTGGTAAGGAACACTATGGGACATGAGAGGGGTTGGTGGATTTAATCTAATTTTGTACTTCACAGATGTGTCTTTTTACTGCATTTATTTTAAAAGTTATTTTCTAGTGCAAAACTTGATTTGGGATGGAACTTCCATGCTTTTTGTAATTGTTGTATGAAAGAATATTACATGTTATAAATATACACTTCCATATCATAGGGGAAAACCTCATGTATGGATTGAGGCAGGGGAACCTACTCGACTAGGGGGTCAGAGATTTTCCATTTTAATGGTAAACAGCAGAACAATACCCAGATACAAGGGACCTCAAAGAAAATGGTTATGCATATTCTGATCAAAGCCAAACTATGTATAGAAAAAGATTTCTAATGAAGGAGAATAGCTTCAGGGGTAAAGGAGGTCTGCAAAATTGTAATAGTGGTATACGATTAGATCCAAAATGGGATAACCTTATGGCACTATCACTATATATGTATAATGCTCCACCCTGCTGTCCATCATCTTCAACAGAACCCAGTCACTGAAGGATATGTACAGGGTTATTCACAAAAGGGGAATTCAATGTAAATTTCAAACTGATAGCCAAAATACCCAAATTGGACTTTTTCTCTAAGTCAGGTATACTTCCAGTTTGGCTACTTGTCCTGAAATGTGAAATTCTCTTTAAATTCTCATTTTAGTGAATTACCATGATAGTATCTAGAATAATGCAAGTCATTTACCAATGGATAAGCATATTGTAATGTGTTTTCGAAAATCCTGCTTCGTTGGGAAAAACAGTGAATATGCATCATACCCCTTTAAAATTGTAGATTACTTAAAGTCATGTGAAAAGTGAATGGCAGTCTCCCATTTTACCACACAAAGGTTTATCTATGAGCAAAAAGGAGAAAGTAGAAATGACATGTTTTCGGATCAAGTCTATATGGTACTTGTATGACTCATTATAGTGATAGGAGTTGCTGAAAGCAGTGTGTTGAAGAAAGAAACATATCTAAAAATATTTATTTAGAATTCTATTTTAAAATGTGGTGCAAACATTTAAGAAGAGTTGACCCCGAAAATGTTTACCCGACATCTGGATGGCTACAGAAGTTTCAGTCATGAAATCACGCGCGTGACTGATCTATCCCAGGTTACTTTGCCATTAATGCTTATCAGAGAGTATTTAGTTTGATGCCTATGCATTCAACTACATGTTCCCCAGCAGTGGAAGTGAGTCCCTTTAAATATCTGATAGCATTTTACTGTATACTATAATATACTAAATTCATGTTATAGTCCTCTTTAAAGAAAATTACTCATTTAGCATTTATTTTGCATTATTGTTATACATTTTTCAATATAATGTAGTATTTTTTTTAATAACATGTAAATAGGCTTTTAAACACATTTTAAAGCTGATTTCCAAGTATACCAGCAAGTAGCAATACGCAGCTTTACTTGAATGAATGCACGCGAAGAAGCAGAACAATACATAGAAAATAATAATGGTGTGTTTTGCATAATTATAGCATATTAAGTCCCTGTGTCAATTCCTAAGAGTCTATTGCTGTCATGGCAACCAGGTGATGCAATTTACAACATGCCTAAATCCACTAGAGATACATTCAGAAAGAGTTGTTTTCTCTTGCTTTCGCAAAGTAGCATTTAATGAACTGATCTACAATAACACGACAGAGTCATATAATGAAGACAATTATTATTGTCTTTTAGAGCAATGTTATTCAGCAATGGACACATCAGCTACGCTTGTAAGTCGGTTTAAATATAGTACTATGTTGTGGCGCTGAAAGGGAAAGTAATTTAAGTAATACATGCTGGGGTTTGTGAGAAGGTCTACTATTACTGTTTCTACAAAAAATAAATGTTAAAAATAAATAAATCTGAGGTCTGTATATAAGGCCACTAGATGCCCAGTCTACTAATCCATAATATAGTTACATAGTTACATAGGCTGAAAAGAGACATGTGCCCAGCATGTTCTGCCTTCCTCACTTCAGTTTTTTGCTGTTGATCCAAAAGAAGGATAAAAACTATTTGAAGCACTTCCAATTTTGCAACAAACTAGGGGGAAAAAAATCCTTCTTGACCCCAGAATGACATTCAAATTTATCCTTGGATCAAGAAGCTATTAACCTACAATTGAAAAATTATATAATTGAATACTAGGTTTTTGCTAGTATGACACATTTCCATTTTGTCAAGAGAGGGCGCTGCGGAGTTTTTAAATTAACAATTCATAATATTTAAATCAGCTGCTACCATCACAACTGTGTTGATACATCCAACCACTTGAGTTGGCAAATAAAGAAAAGGTTGCTATTATAGCAGAGCACTGAGAGGGTTTATCATACAGGGACAGCTACCTTAGTTAAACCTTAGTGACACAATTTACAACAGTAAAGTGGCTATTTTCAGCCTGTGACACTAAAAAGGCATTTAGTATGGAGCCCCAAAGGTAGCAACTAAAATATTTCTTGCATCATGCGCACACTGTACTGTGTCATGTGCATGATTTAGTAGATTGTGCCCACAAAATAGTATACTGTGCACATAATCTTCAAAATGGCTATATTGCGGGCTTCCATATATGTCCTTGCTGCCCCGTCCTGATCCAGTCCCTGACTGGGATTTAACTTGAAGTTAAAGGCTCTTCCAACCGTAGATTGTAATAGCAGTGCTCCTTGGGGATAAATGAAAGGGTCCTTTCTAAAAACGGTTGCCATATGTAATGGAAAATTGAGAAATGTATTTATGAGCCATATATTGGTCACTTTACTTCTTGACATGAATGTAGAGGAAATAAGCTTGGCAGTATGAAGTGCCTAATGTGTTTGGAGTGTTCCTTTAAAGGGACATGCATCACTTGATATTTATTTTTTAAACCAGCATGCAAACACTTTTATACAAATGAAGCTTGAGGCAGAGATGGTGGCTGTGCCTTAAAGTTTAATATTTATGTAAAACAAAAAAGCGGAGACAAATGATACTGATAGTGTATATCTGACAGGTGTTGGTAAGAGTAAGAATGCACTTAAACTCTTTTTAGCTATATCTAGCTCTGATTTGAAGGTTTGAGCAGCATAATCCCCTGTAACAGAGCACCTGTACCCAGAGTGGTACCTCCATTGTAGATTCTCCCTGGTCCCGTAGTGAAGCAGTGATTAGAACTCCTGCATACACAAACATTAGTCAAGACTCCTGATCCTGATGAAAGTCCCAGATAGGGACTGAAACGCTGATCGAATTTTTAATGGATTTATAATAAAACTTGAAGATTTTTAACCACTAAAAGACAGTGAGTGCTGATCACTACCCTGCATGTATGTATATATATATATATATATATATATATATAAACACTCTTGGAGGCATCAGTATCTGACAAAGTGAGTAAACCCCTCACATTTTTGTAAATATTTTATTGTATTTTTTCATGCGACAACACTGAAAAAAATGACACTTTGCTACAATGTAAAGTAGTAAGTATACAGCTTGCATAACAGTGTAAATTTGCTGTCCCCTCAAAATAACTCAACCCACAGCAATTAATGTCTAAACCGTTGGCAACAAAAATGAGTACACCCTTAAGTGGAAATGTCCAAATTGGGCCCAATTAGCCATTTCCCCTCCCCGTTGTCATGTGACTCGATAGTGTTACAAGGTCTCAGGTGTGAATGGGGAGTAAGTGTGTTACATTTGGTGTTATCGCTCTCACACTCTCTCATACTGGTCACTGGAAGTTCAACATGGCACCACATGGCAAAGAACTCTCTGGGGATCTGATAAAAAGAATTGTTGTTTTACATAAAGATGGCCTAGGCTATAAGAAGATTGCCAAGACCCTGAAGCTGCAGTACGGTGGGCAAGACCATACAGCGGTTTCACAGGACAGGTTCCACTCAGAACAGGCCTCGCCATCTTCGACCAAAGAAGATGAGTGCACGTGCTCAGCGTCATATCTAGAGGTTGTCTTTGGGAAATAAACGTATGAGTGCATTGCTGCAGAGGTTGAAGGGGTGAGTGGCAAGCCTGTCAGTGCTCAGACCATACGCCGCACACTGCATCAACTTGGTCTGCATGGCTGTCATCCCAGAAGGAAGCCTCTTCTAAAGATGATGCACAAGAAAAGTCGCAAACAGTTTGCTGAAGACAAGCAGACTAAGGACATGGATTACTGGAACCATGTCCTGTGGTACGATGAGACCAAGATAAACTTATTTGGTTCAGATGGTGTCATGCGTGTGTGGCGGCAACCAGGTGAGGAGTACAAAGACAAGTGCGTCTTGCCTTTAGTCAAGCATTGAGGAAGTATCATGGTCTGGGCCTGCATGAGTGCTGCCGGCACTGGGGAGCTACAGTTCATTGAGGGAACCATGAATGCCAACATGTACTGTGACATACTGAAGCAGAGCATGATCCCCTCCCTTCAGAGACTGGGCCACAGGGCAGTATTCCAACATGATAACTACCCCAAACACACCTCCAAGACAACCACTGCCTTGCTAAGGAAGCTGAAGGTAAAGGTGATGGACTGGCCAAGCATGTCTCCAGACCTAAACCCTATTGAACATCTGTGGGGCATCCTCAAATAAAAAGTGTGGGAGCGCAAGGTCTCTAACATCCACCAGCTCTGTGATGTCATCATGGAGGAGTGGAAAAGGACTCCATGGCAACCTGTAAAGCTCTAGTGAACTCCATGCCCATGAGGGTTAAGACAGTGCTGGAAAATAATGATGGCCACACAAAATATTGACACTTTGGGTCCAATTTGGACATTTCCACTTAGGGGTGTACTCACTTTTATAGACGTATGAGTGCATTGCTGCAGAGGTTGAAGTGGTGAATGGCAAGCCTGTCAGTGCTCAGACCATACGCCGCACACTGCATCAACTTGGTCTGTATAGCAGCAAATTTACACTGTTATACAGACTGTACACTTACTACTTTACATTGTAGCAGAGTGTAATTTCTTCAGTGTTGTCACATGAAAAGATAAAATATTTACAAAAATGTATACTCACTTTTGTGAGATACTGTAGATGCCTCCAAGAGTTTCATGCGCACTTTGAAAAAGCCTGTTTCCTGGCCATTCATGGCAGCATCACTAATGGGTTCGCCCCTAACAGGAACAGGACAGGAAACAATTAATCAATTATAACCAGACTGTAGGTATAAAAGTTCCCTCCTCCCTCCTACCCACAGTCTTTTTTTCTGTCCTTAGCAGGACAAACAGGAATTTTCCTATAGAAAAATTTTCTTTTTGAGGCCACCTTCCCATGTGTACCATGGGTTCTTACCAGATAAAGTTCAGCCTCTCTTTATCTGAAGAACTCAGTAAACAGCCTGCAAAAGCAGGACTAACTGAGTTAAGGTACATTTTAGTATATGCACCTAATTCTGGAAAATCAGGGCTGTTCTTAAATAATTGAAATGATGTGGGGTCGGTGAATCCTTAAAAATTCCCCTTTAAGCATCAAAAACCACCTCAGAGATTGCGGCAGAAAAAAGCTGGGTAAGTGACTAAAATTATTGAACTTACCTAAATATATGCAAAGGAATAGAGTATAACGTTTTGTTTTGGCTTGGTATTGCTTGAGGAGGCTTGCACAGTGCTCTTCTTGCCTGTTTGCACTGACCGAATGATACTTCTGGGTTCGGAGGGCGGGGCATGCGCAGTAGCATACGCGAACCGCCGGTCTCTTAAAGCGATATCGCGCCAAAATTTTTAAAAACAGGAATTCAATATTAAACGCTTGAGAAGGGAAGAAATCTCATCTGAATCAAGTGATAGTATGGAGATCAACATAATACGAGAGACCCTTAGATTCCCAGAAGAAGAATCTGCAATAAAGGAATCTGATGGATATTTTGAGGATCTGAGAGCTAATAGACCTACCTTTCGGGTACACTCTACTATAAAAGAGATAATTTCTCAAGAGTGGCAGAAACCTGAGAGAAAAGCAACACTGAAGAACAAAGCATTCAGATTATACCCATATGCCAAAGAAGATTACAAAACCTGGAATACCGTACCCAAAGTTGATGCCGCAGTGATACACATGGCAAAGAAGACAGCCCTTCCTATTGACTCCATGGCTTACTTGAGATAACCTATGGAGAAAAGGCTAGATGCTAGCCTGATAAAGTCATATCTTGCATTAGGATCTGCATTACATCCAGCAGTAGCATTAACAACGCTATCAAGAGCATTCAAAGTATGGCTGGAGAACTTAGAAGAAGATATCGCCAAAGGTGTTAGGAGAGATCATCTTCTGGAAGGAATGAGAGATTTAAAATTGGCAACTGAGTTTTGTTCTGAAGCATCCCTGGATGTTACGAGAATGGTGGCAAGAAGAGCACTATGGCTGCACTCCTGGGGAGCAGACTACGCCTCTAAAGCATCCTTGTATGCTCTTCCATTTCAAGGTGATCTCCTATTTGGAAAGGTCTTGGATGAAGCAATCCATAAAGCAGCAGATGGGAGAAAAGCCTTTCTTCCGCAGGTCAGAAAATATGGTTAGACTGCATGGAAAGATAGAAGATACAAAGACCGTGCCTTTCGTGAAAGCAGGGCATATAAACCTGGGAAAGAGTATTTCAGATCCAATTGGAAAAACACTCAGCAAAAATCTTTCAGAGGAAGAGGAAATAAGCCAGGGAAAAACTTCTGAACGTGTGCCGGCCCAGCCAGGAATTACAGGGGGAAGACTACATCTCTTTTATCCTGTCTGGGTCAGAAGCGTAACAGATGCCTGGGTCCTATCAATATTGGCCGAAGGATACAGGTTAGAATTCGAGGCCATTCCAACAAAGGAGAAAAAGAGACAGCTATGAGGGACTGCATCTCGAAACTACTAAAAGAACAGGTAATAGAATACATCCCAGTAAAAGAACAAAGAAAGGGTCACTATTTTCTAGCTCCGAAACCTCAGAAGAAGTGGAGACTGATTCTGGACTTGAAAAATTTGAATTCGAAACTAAAGAGAAAAACATTCAAGATAGAATCAATTTCAACTATTGTACCAAACATCAATATGGGGGATTGGATGACGTCTATCGATTTAAAAGATGCATATCACCAGATTCCAATCAATATATGGCACAGGAAATTCCTCAGATTTTGTGTATTTGGAAGACACTACCAATTCAAAGGACTTCCATTTGGACTAAGCCTGGCTCCAAGCACATTTTCAAAGGTACTCATAACATTGGTAGCTGTAATCCGAAAGAAAGGAATAGAGATATACCATTACTTGGACGATTTTCTGATTATAGGTCCATCCAGACAGAAGGTAGCTCTCCACACTCAGTGGGCCATAGAGATCCTCGTGAACCATGGTTGGAAACTGAACCTGGAAAAGAGTATGACAGTTCCCTCTCAGAAAATAGTATTCCTGGGGGTTACCATAGATACGATTATCGGGCGAGTAACTTTATCCACAGAAAGAATGGAGAAGATTCGGATGAAGATCAAGAATCTTCACGACAAGAAATATATTACAGCAAGGGAATTCATGAGCCTCATAGGATCTCTTAAATCGACTATAGGACTGGTGAAATGGGCCCAGTGGAAGATGCGTCCCATCCAAATGCAGTTTCTGAAGGAATTCAAGAAACAAGAGGGCAACTGGGATCAAAAAATACCCATTTATCAAAAAACTATAGACGACCTGTCACGGTGGAAGAAAAACAAGAACTTATCCTTGGGGTTTCCTCTGGAGGATCCCACATGGATAACAGTTACTACAGACGCAATACTCCAAGGATGGGGTGCGCATTTAGAAAACGAATGTATACAAGGTACCTGGTCACAGAGAGAGAGAAAGTTGCACTCAAACCTCAGAGAACTAAAAGCAATATTCTATGCCCTGCAGGGATTTCGACAAATTATAACAAATTCTTGGGTAAGAATCCAAACAGACAACAGAGCAGTGGCCTCAAATGTAAACCGACAAGGTGGGACTAGAAGCAATGCTCTATTGAGGGAAATATTCCCATTGATGGAATTAGCTCAAAACAGCCTACAGGGCCTGAAAGCAGTATATCTTCCAGGAAAAGAAAATCTGATGGCAGACTACCTGAGCAGAAAAAAGATTCTATCAGGAGAATGGCAATTGAATCCGGAAATATTTCATCAGATATCGCTAAGGTGGGGCACACCCCAGGTCGACTTGATGGCTTCATATCAGAATTCTCAAGTCCCGAAGTATTTTTCCCTAAAGGCAGAATATCAATCAGCAGGACAAGATGCCTTTTCCCTCCCCTGGGACTTTGATCTGGGGTATGCGTTCCCTCCACTGCCGATGATTCACATGTTATTGAGAAAAATCCGGAAGGAACGAAAGGCAGTGATTGCCATAATTCCAAACTGGCCAAGAAGACCATGGTTTCCACTCGTGAACAAAATGAGCTTAGGTCCTCCATGGCCTCTTCCTCAGAGAACAGATCTGTTAATACAAGGTCCAGTGAGGCATCCCAACCCAAATCAATTGAAACTGGTGGCTTGGCACTTGAAAGCAGAAACTTATAGAGCAAGGATTACCAGAACCTGTTGTAAATACACTGTTAAAATCCAGAAAAAATTCCACCTCCGCGTGTTACCACAGAATATGGGAAGTATTTCGAGTATGGACAAAAGAGAAATCCAAGAATTTCCTACAGCCTTCAAATATAGATATTTTGGAATTTCTACACGAAGGTCTGGAGAAGGGCCTGAGCCTAAGCACGTTAAAAGTGCAGTCATCAGCCTTGTCGGCCCTGTGTAACACCTCCTGGGCTTCAGACCCTATCATTGCGAGGTTCTTTAAGGCAGCTATACGCATAAGACCTCCATCTAGAAACTATTCTCCTCCATGGGACCTTCCATTGGTACTGGATGTTTTGTCAGATCCCCCCTTTGCTCCATTGGATGAGTTGGGTATAACTAATCTGACGTACAAGACCTTGTTCTTGGTGGCAATCACTACGGCTAAAAGAATGTCCGAAATTCTCCAGTGATCCGAATCCCATTCAGATTTTCCATGATAGAATTATATTAAGATCTAGACTGGTATTCCTACCTAAGGTGGTTTCTCGTTTTCACTTGACACAAGAAGTGATTTTCCCTTTTTTTTTTCAAAATCCTTCTTCTTCAGAAGAAGTTAAGCTCCATCAGTTGGATGTAAGGGAATGTGTAATAAAATACATAGAGGTCTCTAAGCTATTCAGGAAATCACAGCACTTATTTCTTATACCGTCAGGATACAGAAAGGGAGAGGCGGCCTTTACTGCCACGTTAAGACGATGGGTTTCGAACACCATAAAAACGGCATACAAACTAAAAAATATATCTCCTCCAGAAAAGATAAAGACCCATTCTACCAGAGCATTGGCTACATCCTGGGCTAACTGGGCAGAGGTTCCTCCTGACGACATATGCAGGGCAGCCACCTGGTCGTCTCCTGTAACCTTCATCAAACATTATAAGCTGGATGTGACTTCTTCCTCCTCATCCTTCAGTAGAGGGGTTCTGTCTTCAGTGAATCTCTCATGAATAAATCTCTTGTTGCAGCAAAATTGTTGAGCTCTCCTTTTTTTTCACCCTCCCTTTGTTGCGAAGCTTGGGTATTACCCATTAGTGATGCTGCCATGAATGGCCAGGAATACAGAAAATTTTCTCCATACTTACCGTAATTTTCTTTTCCTAGCTATAATTCATGGCAGCATCAGCAACCCTCAAAATTTGTTTTGTTTAGCTTTATACTAGACTGTGGGTAGGGGGGAGGAGGGACATTTTATACCTACAGTCTGGTTATAATTGATTGTTTCCTGTCCTGTTCCTGTTAGGGGTGGAGCTAACCCATGCTGCCATGAATTATAGCCAGGAAAAGAAAATTACGGTATGGAGAAAATTTTCTGTATTATATATATATATATATATATATATATATATATATATATAGAGAGAGAGAGAGAGAGAGAGAGAGAGAGAGAGAGAGAGAGAGAGAGAGAGAGAGATGCCAATTTCTAAATTTCCCAATGGAGGTCACATGTCTCAATGTAGTTAAATTGAAGATTATATTAGCTTTAGTGTACTAATAGAAACAACACAGAGAAAAGTGTAGGAATAGGTGGCGCTTATAGATATAATATAGAACAATTTCAAAAAGCTGCTATAAAACACTCATGAGGGTTCTCCAAAAACCACTCTCCACATGCAAAAAACGAACAATAAACCTCAAATGGGTCAGTGTAAACACCTTCCCACTATTGGTAAGAGTGTAGTGCTAATAGGTGTATATTCACAGTGCTCAAGAATACAAATGTACACTTAACACTCAGGGTAGTATCAAAAAAGTAGACATATAAAGGGAAAAAACACAGAAAACATACATAGGGTAATAACGTAGAGCCTGTATTGAAGTGAATTTAGATATATACAGATAAACTCACATTTATTAGAGCCTTTTATGTGCGTATAGGCTCTAAACACTTAAGTATCCATGCCTTTAAGGTAGGCAGCGAGACCGTATTGATTCTGCTTGCTTTTTTTCCTTCCTTCCCTCCTTTCAATCAAGGTGAAGACTCCAAAAGAAAAGAGAAACAAAACAGACTT